GGGAAACAAACGCCGACACTGCGGTGCAAGTCTCGGATGACAGTCACCTAAAGCTGGGCAAACACTGTGCGATTTTTTCAGTCACGTTATTCAGCTCCTGCTTAAACTGCACGATTGACTCACAGGGGTTAGAAGTTGATAGGTCACGATGCAGGGTCTCACACTATACAGCCCGATGCTCTGATGCGACCTGAGTGCGCACACTGTGCCTCCATAAAATGAAGGTTATAACCAGTGTTGGGTAAGTTACTTTAAAATAGTAACTTAGTTAGATTACTAGTTACTTCTCTCAAAAGTAACTCCGTTACTTCAAGTTACTCGTTACTTTCAAAGTAACTAGTTACTAGGGAAAGTAACTTTGGTTTTACTCAGAATTCTCTTGTTAATGTGTTTCTTCCATAACTTTGCCAGTCTTCTAGCTTGCTTACTTGCCACAAGTGCACTGTGTATATAATGTATAATGTATAATGCATATTTCCACGAGAGAAATCCCACGCCTTTCCCACGTCATGTGCGCCTTTTACATCCATCCATCCATCCATTCGCTTCCGCTTATCCTTTTCAGGGTCGCGGGGGGCGCTGGAGCCTATCCCAGCTGTCATAGGGCGAGAGGCGGGGTACACCCTGGACAGGTCGCCAGTCTGTCGCAGGGCCAACACACAGGGACAGACAACCATTCGTACTCACATTCACACCTAATGGCAATTTGGATTTTCCAATTGACCTATCCCCACAAGCTGCATGTCTTTGGACGGTGGGAGGAAGCCGGAGTACCCGGAGGGAACCCACGCAAACACGGGGAGAACATGCAAACTCCACACAGAAAGACCCCGGCCTGATGTTGGAATTGAACTCAGGACCTTCTTGCTGTGCGGCAACAGTGCTAACCACCGTGCCGCGCCTTTTACATCCAACACAAAAACTGCAGTCGTGGTGCTTTCGATTGTACTCAGAACTCAGAAATTCTGTCTTCTGAATAGGAAGATGTAGGTAACACCAGACTGCAGATGAGCTGCATACAGGGCTGGACTGGGACAGAAAATTGGCCCGGGCATTTTGACTAGAGACCGGCCCACCATTATAGGAAAAATCATAAAGCCTTTGAATGAAAATAAACACTGTTGTGACAGTGATGTTCACTGTTCTGATGGTATATATGGATCAATCTATCAATCGTTTGTCGTAAGATTCAGATAATTATTTTTTAAAAGCGAGACACTTTAAATGAGAATAAGAAAGAAAAGTATTTCTTTGTGCCCCCCATTCCCTTTTAATGCCCTACATGGACCCCTGGCAACACTTTGCTAGACCCGCCCCTGCACAGTTACCAGCTGTCAGCTACCTAAAAAAGGATCCTGGTGTTATTTGTCTCTCAGAAACAGTTCATAACTTCCCTTCAACTCATTCATGTCACCTAAAAGGTAAACCTGTTTCTCCATCACCTGCTCAGCTCTGATGATTCAGTAAGGACATCTCCTGGTTTCATCTTCATGTTTCCCTCTCACCAGATAACCAAACCATATCAGGACCAGCAGCTTTTTTGCAGCTGTGGCTCCAGCAAACATCAGCTGATACTAGAAATTAATATTAAATAAATTCTAACAACAGCTGATGAAGCTTAAACGTGCTGCTGTTGTTTAGCGCCACATCTGCTGGTTTCCTCTTTCTGGCACAAAGTGAGCGATAAACAAACAAGAGAGAAAAGCTGATCATTGATCAGTTTTCATGATTGAAGTAGAAACGGGAGAGGGTATGGAACTCCAAAGTGTTCAAAATTAAATAAATAAATAGGTCAAGATGAAATAAATAACTATGTGAATAAATAAGACACAGATATGTAATGTGAGAATGATATTGTGAAATAATGGAACACATTTTGAAAAAAATGCTCATTATTGTGAAATATATTGCATACTGCTATATAAATTTACTTATTATTGTGAAATATTATTTCATGGTCATTATTTTTCACAATAACAGAGATTATTCCTGAGGCATTTTATTTATTTCCAGCCGTTTTTAGTCCAAAATGACCTTTTTTCAAAGTCAGTCTTTATTTCAAAATCCCGTTTTTCCCGATGGTCTATTTATTTCATAATGCGACTTTTCAGCAGAATGACTTTGTCTGTCAATCAAGAAAGACAGGGCGGAGCCAGTTGTGTGATTGGTTGCTCCTTTACTCAGACATATAGCACATTGTCGATTTAGGTTTAATGGTGCAATGCATCTCCTATGCAGCTGTCTGTCAATCAATGTAAGTGGGCTGGACCTTTGCACCTATTGGCTTATCGTTTACCATCGACTAGTTTTCCTGGATACCGGCTCCGCGGACGGCTACTGCAGCTAGCAACAGCGTGCTAGGTCAAAAGTCACGGAGGATGGCGGACTGGTGTGAACTTCAGCCAGTTCTGCTCATTTAAGCAAATCAGATAGAGAGGGATCATTTACCTGTAGATACTGTTTTGAGTCGTTTAGATGTTTCTGAAATGCTTGGGATGATAATTGCTCTTCAAGATGTTCGCATCGATGACAGCATTGTCAAAGGTTTAAGATCAATTCAGCACCGTGTTCGTTTGGAATACGCCGAGGAAGAACAGTCTTCAAATGTTGGCCGTCCACGTCTAGAAATCCCGGTGCAGCACTCAGGACTTTAGTGCTGTCCGGGATAACCGTCGGGGTAATTGCCGATACATTTTCTGTGTCTCCGAGCACAATTAGGAGGAAAATGACGGAGGATGGTCTAAGGTAAGTTTATGCTGTAATTGAGCACCTGTGTGATTCTGTACACAGCATTGTTTAGGTGTTGACCTTAATTATGACGTTTGACAATGAATTATTATCGCTTACTTTTTTATGTTACTGTCTAAAGTGGGGCAGCTACGGCTAAAGCTATCGGCGCCATCTCGGCGTTGAGACACGTTTAGCAGTGTTAGCTGTTAGTGTGTTAACTCGGAGACTGGGGTCAGTGGAGCCTGTAGGAACCTTTTACACAGAGAGTAGACCCACCAGCTTTCCACAGTCTACTTACTTATCACATCTTGTTAGACAACAGGGTCATTAGTGCTTTAAATAGTACATAGTTGAATGTTTCATTGCTGTTTGCAGTTGATTGTTCTCTGATAACGCATAACAAGGTTGATGTTAAATAGCGAGTTTATTGAAATGGTTTTGTCTATTTCAGCAGCATTATAGATATACTTTCTCTGGTGTCTTCGGTAAAGCTAAAACAAGAATACATTTACATCCTTGGTTCTTTCAGCATTAATTGGAAAACTTTGAGATTTGCTGTGCGCCTCCCAAGCCATTCTCTTTTATCCCACCTGTCAGGTATAGATGGCAATACTTTAAACAAAGTTAAATTTGTTATACCTGAAGAGAACCAATCCTGACCTAGAATGGGTGAATGAATAATTAGTTGGTAGCCAATGCCTAAGCAACTCACATAGGCCCTGGCAGACTCAATAAGTCCATCTAGGAACAGCTGCAGGAAACACCTCTTCAGTTTAGATTTAAAACATGTGCATGCTCTTTCAGGTTGATGAGGATTATGGTGTGGACTGGACAGGACAACATAATCGCTGCCCATCAAATGAGATCACCATTCCTGAGATTCAGCTCCCAGATGCACTGAATGAACAAGACCCTGCTGTGCTACCAATACTTCAAAATCACTTGTAGAAAGACATTATTACATTTAATCCGTTTCTATGTCAGGAGGATTTTTTTTTTTTTAATTTCTACAGCTTTGTAGCTAATACTGACTCAAAACAGCATAACCAATTTCATTTTCAACAAAACAGTGAGTGGCTATAAAACAGGATTTGTTTTATACAGCTGTCACTTTAATGATATTCATTTCTTGGTTGGATATACAGTACATGTCAACTCTGAGCAGATTTAATACAATGAACACAGTAGAGTAGTGTAACATCTTAATTCAAATAATTTTTCTAGAGATTTTTTTTGTATCAGTAGCGAGTATAAACAAAACATATTGTGTAATTTATAATGTACAGTGAACAACTGATTTTGATATCTGAACTCTTCATCAGTTTATATTAAAAAAGCCATAAATGCACACCTGTACTCTGTATTTTTCACTGTCAAGTGTATTAAAAAGAACTAGAACTCACTAGATTGTCCGTGATGCAAGAAAGAAGAAATGGTCTAATTTTACCATGTGGTTATGGAATCAATCGTAAACCAGACCAAAACCTGAGTCAGTAGAGTTGAGACACACCTGAATGTCCATTAGAAATGACTCATAGGTACAGTAGTGTGCAGGAAGACGTAGTACTTCAAAACCGGTGGAAGACTTTGGAAGATTGCTGTTGACCACTTCCACAGTCATTTCTCAGCAAGACTTCCCATCCTGTCCAAAACTTGATGAGGGCTTTTTGTTGTGCACAAGATGCTGCAACAGAAGATTGTTTTAAACTATAATGACATCCTATATTCATTATTTTGAATCTTTTATGGAGAAATACCATAAAAGATGACCACTTACATACAGGGCACCAGACATTTTTGCCCCACTCAAATTGCTGTTGTAGCTTTTATAGATATTTTTATGTTAACAAAGCTAAAAGTAGTCTACATACAATTCTAGTGCAACTGATAATGCCACCACTCTTATGTATTGCATGGAGCAAATAACAAAACAAAATTATACTATAGCGTAGAGCTGGGCGATAGAACGATAACGATATGTATTGCGAAATAACTTTTTCTCAATAGAAAAATTAAACTATTGCGATAGACCTCACCGCTCTTGTCCTTTTTATAAAAAAATAAATAAAAATAAATATCGTGATATGAAAAAATCTCATATCGCCCAGCTCTACTATAGTGTACTTTGTTAATGACCCAAGATCACTGGACTGTATGTAATTTACCAAAGTATAATCAGAGAAAACCAATGGCAAAATACCTATCGCAGCAGACTTACCATTTTCAATGAAGGACCGAAGGTAACCTGCCACTCTGCATTTATCCTCGGGAGCATTCCTCTTCTTCCTCATCTTCATCTTCTGTGGCAGGCCACAGTCATTTTATAGCTTTACTTATCTTGTAGTCTTAAGAGCATCAGCAACATTAGGTGTATTTTTATTAAATGTAACCCAGCTGTTCAACTAACCCACGCATACAAAACAGTATATTGGTGTTTTGTGTCAACAATTAATGTTCATCCTTCATAAATTAACCAAATAGCTTTACTATTCAGATGTTAAAAGATGTGACCTGACCTTACCTCACAACAGGGAGCAGTCTCTGATTCCCTTGGTAAGAAAGGAGGAATGATGTCTGATCTTTCTGTCAGAAGCGGCCATACCATGGTTTCCTTAAGCCCTTTCCTCAGCTGCTTGACTTGACGACTTGTTTGTGTTATGACCTACAACGGTGAGACCAAACCAAAACTGAAGTTGGAGTCTGTAAAGTGACACACACTTTAAATGTTAAATATTTAAAGAACATCCACTGTACTAGTAAAAGCATTTTCAAATTATACCCACTTACAAAATCACTACGTTGAACTAAAATTGCTTTCTTTTCTTTCACATAGATTACTTGTCTTCCATATTAGCACAGAAGATAAGCCACTTTAAAACAGTCATGAATAACTATTACCTACAACAATGTAAATAGTAATACAGACATTAACCCAGAAGACAATTATTTTCTCTTACCTAATTTATAGAATTCTTTGCTATGATAAAAAACAGTATTAAAAAAAATCTGTGACTAAACTGATTAAAAAGCTCATTTTTGCCAGACAGACTAACCAAGCAATAATAACATATCGTTACTTACCCTGAACAGCGTTTCGTGGAGTGGAGCTAGCTGTGATAGCGTTAGCATTTGCTAACGTTAACACTGTGCGGTTGTGATGAGAACTTGGACCAGGGACCACTTCATCTCCAGTACACTGCTGCAATACGCAGACTGAGGTGAAGACGTTCAATCTAAGCGGTTAGCAAGTTCTTTGAGTAACTCAGAAACGGACTTGTTTCCTGCAGCCATGCCCTTCACAAGAATTGATACACCTGTAACGTTATTCGCGCCCAGTGTTTTGCATTTGTCGGTGCCTTAAGTTTATTTTGAGCTGCATACTGCCGCCAGCTGCATAGGAGATGCATTGCACCATTAAACCTAAATCGACAATTCATGTGCTATTACTTATGTCTGAGTAAAGGAGCAACCAATCATACAACTGGCTCCGCCCTGTCTTTCTTGATTGACAGACAAAGTCATTCTGCTGAAAAGTCGCATTATGAAATAAATAGACCATCGGGAAAAACGGGATTTTGAAATAAAGACTGACTTTGAAAAAAGGTCATTTTGGAATATAAACGGCTGGAAATAAATAAAATGCCTCAGGAATAATCTCTGTTATTGTGAAAAATAATGACCATGAAATAATATTTCACAATAATAAGAAAATATATATAGCAGAATGTAATATGTTTCACAATAATGAGCATTGTTTTCAAAATGTGTTCCATTATTTCACAATATCATTCTCACATTACATATCTGTGTCTTATTTATTCACATAGTTATTTATTTCATCTTGACCTATTTATTTATTTAATTTTGAACACTTTGGAGTTCCATAAGAGGGAGGGGGAGAGGATGAGAGAAGAAGAGGCAGCTGTGCAGCGTAAACACAGAATAACTCCAGCTTTGTGCCTTTTTCATTGTAGCTGAATTACGGGACAAACTGTTCCTTTTCACCTCAATAAGAAACGCGTAATATTTTCTCTGAATACCAGAAGGGACGGTTGGCAACTCTAATAACTTATGAACAAAATAAAGTTCAACATCATTAGCTTCATAGCACCCACCCAGCTGTATAGAAACTCCGTCATGCTAGCTAGCACGCAGTACGGAAAAAGTCAGAATAACGAAAATAAACTTCACCTAAACTTGGTTCATATCTGACCCAGAGAGACTGCAGGTCATAACTTCTTACCTGAGGTTCAGTTCACACTTGGACCGGCGGCCGCCTCGGGTCTCTTTTCCTTCTGCGTCCCCTTTCCTTCATCCACCTGCGGGCCTCCACCACTTGCTAATGTTACTGAATCTGTGGAAGCTCCGCGATAGCCACCACACAAAGTAACGAGTAACGACCCTATCTAAATCCCAGTAACGAGTAACGCGTTCCTGATTTTAGCATAATAACTAGTTACCGTGCTCGTTACCACAATAATAACGTAGTTACTGTAACGCGTTACTTAATAACGCGTTAGTCCCAACACTGGTTATAACAGAAAATCTGTCGCTTGCTTGCTCTCTCTCTCCGTCTTTCACTCACACAGACACACCACCACCATCAACTTTGCTAAATTGCTAATGAAAAACATTGATCAGGCAGCTGTGATTGAGCAGCAGTGTAAATTCAACTATTTTCACGGTTGTTGTGGTCGTGATAATTTTGTGATGCCACATCGAAAAGACTCGGATGAGCTTTCCAAAGTTCTACAAGTTGTGCCTCCATCGCTTGTGTCCAGATCACACGCTGCACAGCCGTGCTGCTCCATCTTTTTCACAGACGTTTACGTGTTTGCGCGTGAGCAGTGTGAGCAGCTGCGGTGACACCCTCACGAGCGATTGATGATCGGGAGCTGGTCGTGAGGTGTTAATCGCTTTTCGTTACCCCACGTATACTACACGATGCACGATGAAGGCCAAAATCGGGCCGATCGCCAAATTGGTCGCACGACTCAAAAATCGGCTCAAAATGGGCCAAAAATCGCACAGTGTAAGCCCAGCATTAGAGCAGCAATGTTTGATCACTCAGAGAAAGAAAAAAAAAGGCTGCAAAAGTACAGGGAGGAATGGGAAAAGGAAAACACCTGGCTGGAAAAGTGCACGATAACACATATAAAGCGTACTGCACTGTGTGCCGGCGCACTTTTTCCATAGGCATGCTTCTAATGGTGGGCGTGAAAGCTCGGGGAACCCTTTACCAATTTTTTATCCACCAGGCCAAGGCAGAAGCAGATATGGCATGTAAACATTGGTTTGTTTGTTTTTAAACCCTCTGGTTAAGGTTATTATGGGCATGTGCAGTGAATATCAGCGCTATGTGGCCAGAACTGTGATAATATAATTTATTTTGTGTAATAAACAACTGCAAGGATAGATGATTACAACAAATAGATGACTAATACATAAAAGTAATACATAGATGAATAATGATGATGAGTTAAGATGCGTAATCATGGGAACAAGTGGGTTTACAAACAGGAGCAGCTGATTAGCATTAGAAAAGCTGAAATAATACCTCAACTGAAGCCAATTGTACTAAATGCACTACATGTGCACTGTTACAAGAATGTTTTTCGTTCTATTGCATTCTATTAATTTATATAATTTTAAGTTAAGCGGGACAGAGTTCTTTTAAAGAAAGATTTACTTATATTCTCAAAAGCTAAGCATGACAGGCTTCTGTTTAAGAGAGAGACCTGTTTTATTGTATTAATGTTGTCATTTTGAGCTAAAAATAAATGGCTAAATGATCATTTGTTTCCCATATGGTCATATCACAAAGAACATGCATCTGCTTAAATCAAATTCAAGTCAAATGATTAAAAAATAATTTCACACACAAAAAAAGAGCTACCACACTGGGAAGGGTGAAGACAACTGGGTTGCCCGGCCCTGGCCACGAGGTGTCCCTTATTTATTTTTCAGGGAGTAGGCAACCCTAATGTTGTATGTTCTGTATGTATGTTCTGACTGTGGGATTTACAAAACAAATTAAGACATACAGCTCTGTTATCACTTCTGACATAAATGAAGACAGGAAAATAAACAGCAGTGACGTTTGTAGGGTAACTGAAGTTTGGCTAGCTGGTATATCACGATGTGCTACGTGATCACTAGCGACACAGCTATGTTAGCATAACATAAACACAGTGAAATTGGAGGATGAACGCTAACTTTTTTTCCACTCGATAAAAGTTAATGTGAGGGTTCCCGATGGTTAGGGACAAATGCAATCGCATGGCAGGATGCTGTAAACGGACCGATCTTCAGTCAGGAGAACAACTGAGATAATCCATCCACAATACAAGGTTAGTCATTAATAAAGTGCTGCATGGGCTGAGCTGTACTTATATCTTAAGGTTTTAAAAACTGAGCTTTAAAATGAATAGAGGTAATAAAACCTGAGAGAGGCCGACAGTGATCACTGACTGTTTGTAGGGGCTTGTTGGATTAAATAGAAGAAGATACAACGCATCAAAACATGTTAAGCACACAACAGCCTTATTAAATGCTGAGTACTTTGGGCCCGAAAGCAGGATTCATCACGTCATCACTTAAAGACGGGATTGGTTCTCTCCTGGTACTCGAGCTTCCTCCCACAATCCAAAGACATGCACATTAAATTAACTAGTGATTCTAAATTGGCCATAGGTGGTTGTCCTGTCCATCACAGGCTTGGATTGGTGTATCCACCTTTTACGCTAAAACAGGTGGGATAGGCTCCACTTGCCCTGCCAACCTGAACTGGACCAGCGGAAGAACTGAATGGGGGATAGTTAGTAATTACATGCCATCTCTTTCTGATAATAAAGCACTTAACTTTGATAACTAATCGAAAATCATGTATCTGTTGCCATCTACATGGACAGAAAATTTAATTATTACATTTATACTTGGGAACCTTACTGTTGTATAGGAATATAATCAGAATACAACTGGCAGCCAGCTGTGTTCAGTGACAAAGACTCATTCAGACTGAAGGCAAAATGTTGGCAGTCATCTGCATTTATAAGTTAGACAGCAATTATTTGCAAGCTGTCAACAAGCAAGTCAAATTGTAACTATTTTGGTTGCCTCTCATTAGGCGACCTGTGCACTTGCCTTGCGATTAAAAGTGGTTGTGAGCATGCAACATCCTCGAGCTCTGGGCAACTATTAAATCACCACAAGTTGCAATCAGTCGCAGAATGTGAAATAAATTCAGTGCAATCACCAACCAGTTAAGCCGATGTTATCTAAAAATGGCGATGCATGAAATCGGCCCTCTTCTTCATGTATTCCCAGACTGTTTTAGTTTATTTAATAAAAAGTTATTTGGTGTCCCTGTATCAACACGACATCGTACAACATTGTCACATAAAATATATGTGACCCAACCCCATTATTTACATAGTCGGTCTTATGATGCATTAAACACAAGAATTTACACTAAGTAACAAACACCCCCAGGGGACAATTGTAACAGTGGCACTAAAAATATTAGAATAAAAACATGCTTTAAAGTAAACATGTAATCATGTGTTTTCTCTTAATGTATATACTGTTAGTTTAAATTCTTTTAGATATCTGGCATCAAGTTGTGTGCTTTTTTAAATTTTGTTTTTATAGAAGCTTTTTAGTTCAGATGAGTCTTATGCAATCACCTACAGGTATATATGTCATCAGACTTTCTATCAAAGTTGTTTCAACTCAAATAGATTTTATACTATAAAGTATTCAGTGATCAGCTGCTTTATTTTAATGGACGCATTTGAGATAACACAGCTTTCTTTCTAAAATGTTAGTAGAGTACAAGGTGCTTATATTGTGCCCATGTGGCTCAGGGGTAATTGCAGCCCTGTGTTACCACAGCAGATCTACCATCCCAGATCAAATCTTGTATGTTACCTAGCAACAGACTATATTTGGATAAGTTGCTCAAGTTATTGTTTAACCAAGAACCTAAAGATTAACTTGCTGCAGTCACCTTTAACTTTCGACAGCAGAAGAAAAATACTGTGTATTCAAAAATTAGATTTTATACCTCAGTGTAGTTTTTTTGTCTTTCTTTCTTTTTTGTTCAAAACTTCTGCCATAGTAAAATGAGCCTGCGGCAGAGACACACAGACTGAGAATCCTGCCGAGCATGTGCAGGTATAATTTCATCTTGTTTCTGCTTGGAGAGGGAATTGCTCCAGGTCTTTCCTAATATGAAATCAAAATTAGAGGCACTTTTATTGTGTTGAAAGTATTCTTCAAACATTAAGGCTTTTAGCAATTCTGGCTTCAAAATAAGCATTAGCTTCCCATTGTAGTAAAGCTATGTAGAGCTTCCGAAATATTTGTACTTATAGCAAAATATATTTAAGCTCTGGCTCAGTTCTAACATGAGAAAAGGGTGCACAATTTATAATGCTGAAGACTGCGCAT